TAGTGAAAGAGGCGCGCCACCATTTGAAGAGGGGTGAAGAGCTACGCATAGGGGGTAGGTGTCAGGACATTTAGTATGTTCATCAGTGAGGTATAAACTAAAGAAAAAACCAAAATCCTGCTTTCGTGGAATTAGTTCCGAACTTTTTTCTAATTTGACTGGACTATTAATCAAATTAAATAATAAATGTATCTAGCAATAAAAATGTTCAACACTCTTAAATTATAATTATTTCTTTTTTTAATCAATAATTTGAACTGTCGTTAAAGTTAATATTCCTTTAATAAATTGAATTTTCAATTCGGTCTCCTGAATTTCATATTATCGAAAGTCTACTGTATGTATAATATAACAAGCACATTTTTATTTTTTACTCGTCGGTTATGTTATGGTGCACAATATTACATACATGTGATCAAAAACTATACGATGACTATATTACCATAGTAATACGGTAGGACTTCTTATATATTTTATAAGAATTCTGTAATACAATTTAAGCATATTTCATTAGCATATTTTATTATAATATAGTGTGCTTTTTAAAGTATTTAAAAAAGTATTTAAAAAATGATTAAAACACTGAAATATTATGCAGAACTTATTTGAATATACAACTTGAATATGTATATATTATTCTATGTGAAAAAAATTAGATCGAAAGTATTTCTAGGAAACCAATATAAATATGTAAAACAAATTATTTCTAAAATATTTTTTCTTAATTAATTTATAACCAAATAAATGTTTTTGAGAAATACAGTAAACTTATGATAGTAGCTACAGTCAATCTATATTTTGTAACTTAAAACGAACAAAATTAAGCACATTGAATAATTTGTTGTGCTTTTTAAACCTAAAGCTTTTTATCTACTTTTTTTTGTAAATACGAATATTTAAATTATATACATATATATATATATTCGTACAATCAAATTTAATATTTAATATACCGTTTAAAAGATCAAATGATCATTAGACATACCGATACTTAATAGCTAACGTTTATAATTTAATTCGACTTATATATAAGTATCTTATAAGATACTACTTTCATAATGATACGAGTATTTTCCCCATTTAGACAAAGTGGACCGTTATTAGGAGTTTTAATAACGTCGAACACAAACGTTTCATTTCGGAAATTGTTTGTCAGTGACGGATTTTTAAGAGCAGAATATATATATATTTCCTTAGATGAGAAATTTTTTTCGCCTATTATTATCGGTCGATTAAATACAACCGAAAATCACGCTAAATTAACATTTTCGACGTTCGTTAAAAAAAAAGTGTAATTATTCAAAAAAATATCGACAGGATAAACGGTAGGGGTTGTATATAAGTATAAATCGGCATCGGTCACTCGGTTCACATCACTCGCACTTTAGCGAAACAAGCCGGTGAGTTTATAACGAGGTTTAAAATTATTATTATGTATTTGAAAGCGATGATAAATCATTGGCGTTCGAAAAACTATGTGTACTTCAAACTATTTACCCAGTTTTCATTACGGTATAATACAGATTACTGTATTAATAATATTCTACCTTGTCGTAACGTTTCTCGTTTTTCAAAATATTCAACATTAAAGTTTATGAATTAAATATCATATCGCAGAAAAACTTACCATTGTAGGCACTCTAAAAACCGTCGCTTTTATTTGTTTTATTAATGTATTTAAATATGTCAACATATCACATGATATTACACGTTTAAACATTAATATAAATTGTACAATATATGTTGTCGTTTTATTTGTGCTGAATCTTAATTAGTTAGGTTAGTTAATTAGTTATAGATGGATTTAAATTATGTAATGAGAAAATAATATAAGATATAATGAATAATAATTATTATCAAACTAAAACATTATAGTGCGTATTTTTTTATGAGGATGGTCTGGCTGATAATAATTATGAAATAATGATATTTGTAGTTAGTATTTTTAAGACTGAAGTAAGAAGGACTATTATTATCTTAAGGACTAATTAATGAGTTTAAATTTGATGTATAACTTAAATGATTGTCGGCAATTTTGTGTTATGTGTGATTTTTGATATTTTGTGGCTTCTGCGTAAGATTTGTTCTTATAATAGGTATTTGAATCAGGGCTCTTGGCAGAAGGAACTCTTGGAACGGCGAAAGTTATGTGAATGTGATCGGGGTACATAAATGGAAACTAGCATTAGTTTCATGTTAGTGGTCAATAATTTTTTTAAAAATTAGGTAACTTGCGTTAACCTACAGGTAAAGTCATTCGAGTTGATGATGTTGGTTAATACTTTGGTTTTTAAAACCATATTGAAAGCGTAGTAATTTACAATGTATTTGCTGAAGATAGGTGAATCCGGAGGTCCCAGATCTGGAGGTCCCATATCGATCTGTTTGAGGAGAGTTAACAGGATCGTCCTTGAGGTTGGTTAAGGTCATGTCGTTTTTGTCATCAGTGGCGAGTGAAGCGAAGCGGTTTGGTGAAACGAAGACTTAGTTTTTTTTTTGTCATTTTGACTGAGCGAAATTGATGAGGTTCACAAATTTCTTTTCGTGGATTTTGGTATATGCAACAAAGCGAATCCGGTTTTTTAGTGTTGTTTATCATAATGACGTTTTTATTTGAGACTGATAATTAATATTGACCATAATAATGAAAATTTTTGAGTTTGCCACGCTACTGGATCGATCATACGTGATCAAAGTTAGGGTAGAAAGCATTTTTGTTATACAAAATGGTAATGAGATTTCTACTCAAAAATTGTCATAATTATTGTACAACACAAGTAGAATCTTTTGCTTTACTCGGTGATTAAACGTAAGAAAAAAAAGTTATAATTTTTATTTTATATATTTTGTCGAAATGGTTTCGCATAAAATTTCTCAGGTGTCAAGAAAAAATCGGTTCTACCAAAATTTTACAACGTGGATTAAGAAAAACGTTATAGAAGTATTTAATTTTCTTTTCTTATATGAACCCATTTCACATTATCTATTTGTTAATAGAAATCTTTTTATCCTTTTTTCAATTATTTAAAAAAAAAAAAAATATCGGCTCGTCCTTTGCGGTGCCGCATGATTTTCACGTTTACTGTGATGACGGCCTATTAAACGTGCACACTCGTAATGTGTACTTATGTCATGGCATTTGGCCGCCACTGTTTTCAGCCAAATCGACCGTACCGAAAACGATCGATCGTGGTACCATTATCAACACGCCCTACAACACCTATATGCAAATAACTTATGAGTGACTGTGGTCCAATGTACACAGATGGGTGTATCGACAACGACGTGTGAACGTCGAACCGGTGTATAAATAACAACTAGGCACGCGGTTCTCCGGGGATGGCGGTTATTGAACCATTTTGTATACCGCGGCGGTCGGACACTGAACAAATCGATAGCACGACAACAACGATATATTGTTACACGAGTGTAAAGTGTATACGGTATTCTATAACAAGGGCACGCAAGCACGCGAGGAGCTGTTGACTGCGAAGGGGTCATTGTTCCCCCGTGTTGTATTTCCCAAGTCATTCTGCGCAACGCGTGCCCGTGATTACTAACGCAAAAACTGCAACTGGTACGAACGGTTGTATTTCATGAAAACTTTATCGGTATAATCGATCTATTCTACCAATTAGTCAGTGATAAAATATGCTCGCGACTCGTTTACACTTTTTAACTCGATATCCGTGCCGGTACAGTCGCAAATCATTTTGCACGCGTTTTGTCCCCATACTCATTTACGCGACAAAAAAAAAAAAAAATAAACAACTAAATCAAACTATTTATTTTGATTTCCGTTCACGCGTACGCGACACAATACAACGTATCGCAGCGTGCGCTTGGATCGTGTATTATATTATACAGATTTTATCTCTATTCTTTGGTCTCCGGTCGTTTTCGACAATTTTCCGGTAACACTGATGGTAGTTAGTATTGATGTAACATTTGACGATAACGTATAGATTTCTCCGGTCCGACGATATACTTACCATCGACCCGGCGGGATTTTATTCTGGCGCATGTGCACGTGTCTGGGTACAACATAATACATAAGTACTTTCACAAAACACCAAAAACCTTTAAACTGCGCTCCATAAACGTCGTGCTCACTAATACATATGTCTGTCATAGTATCTAAGTTTAACTAATGCGTACAACTAATGTCGGCTTTTGATCGAATCGCCTTGAAAATACGTGTCTCGTAGTGTAATCGGTACTGCTTTGAGTCTCTTATCATAACATTTTCGTTCCGATTTCCTATTATTTTCATTTTCATTAGTATGCCATCGTTATAGTTGGCGTTTAAAACGCACATACCGCATTATAATATAATAGAAGTGATTGTTTTCCCTCCCCTCCCCGTCGGTCCTATATTATATATCAGGGATGGGCAACTCAAAGTAACTTGAGAGCCAATTTATAAAACTTTAAAATCTGGTGTGCCAGAATAAATAAAAAAAAAAAGGGTCATTTAAATTGACAATTAGCATTTATTTTATATAATTTAATTTTAAGACTGAACCAATACAATAAAATAACTACTTAATACCATAACTATCGCTATGTTTGCTATGCCGTTATGGATATACTTATTCTAAGATATTCAATAATTTATCTGCAGTTCAGTATGGTGCGTCGTCCAAGCGCCCATATCTTCTCATTAACTCCCTCCCTTATTTATTTATTTTTTCTTATCTTCTTTCTTTTAAATGTTATCCATTTTTAACCTCCTTAAATAAATTTGTACCACTCTTCCTTTTACGTAAAACGCAGTACTGGGACCGCCAGTTGCCTATCCCTGTAGTACGTGATGTACCGAAAAAATATTTATTTTTTTTTTTTGCTTCCGTCCGTTAAGTTTTGTTCAGATTGCACAATTTTTTATTTCCTTTTTTTAATATACATTTGTTAACATACATATTATATATATATATATATATATATATATATATATATATATATTTACCGTCCTAGAAGTTATTCTATTTCATGTACAGATTGGCGAACTGAAATAACCGGAGCACATTAGTTGAGTCCCGTGAAAAAGGAATAAATGAAAAAAAGATAACGAGCAGGTAAAATAAACACATTTATAAATTCATCATATATATAAATATTTACGGCGTTCGCGTCAATGGTAGAACGTAATAACACATAATAATACACCCTCGGCTTGGAAGAAACATTAAAAGTGAATTTTTCGACCAACCGTGTAGTTCACACGCAGGTTGTTGACATTATTCAACTACGATAAGTGTATTTATGATATTATTATGTTTTTTCACTCGCTCTGGCAAAAATGTTGAAAATCTTCACGGCCACCCTATAATTTGAAAAGTCGTATAAAAAAACCACAACTTAAAAAAAAAAATTGTTACCAAATTATTTTTGTGTATAAAGTGTGGTAATATGGTATACATTTGTGTATTTTGAAGTTTTTTCAAGTTTTTCAAGTTATGTCAACTAACATTAAAAAAAACCAAATGTAGTATAGTTAACTATAATTTCATTAATCATCAAATAAAACGTAGCAAAAACAGTTAAACTTCACCTAACGGACACCTCTAAATATCGGACACTTCTGTATCGGTGATATTTTTTCGGAAACAATATACGAATTTCTACAAACTGATCACTCTAAATAGCGAACGAAATATCAGCAACCAAGGGTGCTCGGTGTTTAAAGTTTTCGCTGAATAAATAAATAATCACATCAAATTATATAACAAAAATATGAAATACCTTTATTGTTTTTAAATCAAGTGTTTCCAGACTAGTTAGCTGCAACAAAACGAATGAGTTTCCCGAGCGGAGATAATGTTGTTCCTGCGATTTCAGTAATACCGTTACGGTAAAGAATAAAAATATATAATCCATGTCGTCGGCCGAGATCGCAAGGGTCGTCGTTGGTTTTTCATACTACAGTCGTTATTATTTATTCAGCACGTATATGATATGCGCCTATAGTAGTCGCCTTAACTTTCCAGTGCATATGTAGAATTAACAGAAACAAAAGAGTTATGAAACGACTCTATTCGATTTGCGTGCGAAAACAATCGACATTTACAGCGACCCCATCGTATTCACAAAACAAATCGGAAATGCCCCTTTATAAATAATTTATACCAACTATACGTTCGGAAATCGAGTTAATCGATATTTTGGCAGCTAATATTAGTCCCTAATCGAAATACATGTTTGTACGTATTCGTGATTGCGTTTAAATACGTGGTACATGTCGACCATGATTTTCAATTCCGTTTTTATTTGGCCCAAACGAATAAATTTATTATTAACTAATTATTACCGTTGCAATTTTCGCTCGTACATTACATATCCATCGCCAGATTTATTAATCATATTTGATATTATTCTTTTCCGAAAAGAGTGATTCGCGTTAATAAATTGTAGAAAAAATGGACAAAATGTTACTTTTTTTAAAGTGGTTGTGGCCTTTCGTTTATTGCTAAAAATTAAATGTAATTTAGTAGATGTTTTAACCCTTCAACGCCTGATGTGTCCCTGTGGTAACACAACAAAATCTATTTATAAGTCAGACGTAAAGAACGTCTGTGGTTATATTTTTATTATCTAATTATAGCAATAATTATATCAATTATTGATTCTCCGTATAATTATCGATTTTACTAGTAGTGTGGTTACCATCTAACGACAGTTCAAAATATTTAAAATGTAATTTATAATTTATAATATTTACAATGTGTAATAAGTGCGATGTTGGACTTTGTGTTGATTGTTTTAAAACATTTAATACCAAATGATTTTTTTTTATATTTTTTATATTTTACTTATATATTATAACTAAAAATACTTGACATTGTCATTAACTTAAACTAATATTTATATTAAATAAAATAACAGATGAGTAAAAAATACTACAAAACTATGAATATTTTTGATTTATTACTTTATAAATATTATATAACTAAATTGCACCTCATTATAGCCTAGTGTGACCATATGGTAACATCTGTTTTCTCGGAAATTGCCCGAGGAAAAAATTTCAAAGCATTTTATTTTTGTTCTAGTAATCTACCAGACTTTAAAATTGCATGATATAAGTAAAAAAATTTTCAAAAAAAAATTCAGGCTTTTGAGGGCTCATGTGCCCTCATAATATTTTGTATGCTATTTTGGTTATGCGTGTTATGAATTTACCATCTCTGTTCCATTGTTCATAAGGTATGGATATAAAATATTGCTACAGGCCAACAAGTAATAAATAATAACATGTTATATTTGATTCGCGATGAACGTTCTAATGATCTATTATGTACTTGATGTATGTATTTGAGTGTACAACATTACACTGCAATCATAAGCGGAAATTTGATAAAATTAGTGGGGGGGGGGCTGAGCATTATTTGCTTATTATACCTATAGGTACCCCTGTACGAAATTATTTATTTCAACAAGGCAATTTACTAAGTTTGACAATTTAACATACTCAACAATTTAACCAAAAAAACAATTAGGTGCCTTAACATAAACATTTTTGGAGTAGCTATTCTAAACAGAAATTATGAATTAAATTAAACAGCCAATACAGGTATTATTACACATTATTAATATTACATTAATTATGATCGTTCCAAGTCATGACAGTTACTTTGTAAAATGTTACGAATTTGATTTAATTTTTATCACAGAATATTATTTTTTTAGTTCAGTTATTAAATATGTATTTTATAATTATAATAATTATTGTATTTTTAGTTACTTAACAATTTTTAGGGCTAGGGGGCTTAGACACGTAATTTATATTTCTGGGGAGGCTTAGTCCCCTCAAGTCCCCTCCCCGATTTCCGCCTATGACTGCAGCGTATCACATTCATTTATATTAAAATCAAAAACCAAATTAAAAAAGTAAATTATTGTTCAGTTTGTGATGCCAACGCATATTATCTACACTCTGTATAATTATAAGAAGTACGTGAATAATAACAATTTTCATCGTATGGATATAATGTACTTTCATAATATTCTTCGCAAATTGTATATTATGTGTATTTGTTCTTGTATACTGTTGAATCGCAATGTTTGATCAACTGTCCGATTCCGAAGTCAAAGCTATCGCAGATCGTATTTCTACAATCGAATCCGTTTCTAAGTAGGTAAATATTTTTACACTTTATTGTATTATGTATTTAGTCACTCTGTGTACACATTCGGACGTCAGTAACAATTATATCGGATATTTTAGTCATCTCGAGTTATATCATGAAATATCTACACTGTAGAATCTATAGATCTATAGATTCTACAGGTTTGACGTAAATTAATCTAGGAAACGTGATGTTCCATACGTTGTACAGAAATAATATTATTTATTAACGGTACAATTCATTGCAAGCAGTATCACTATTATTTTATTCGAAAAATTTGTACGCATCAAAATACATTCAACTATTTGCAAAATGTGCAAAATCCTACGACAATGTATTTTAATTTCATCCTCTGTTCGTGAAAATAGGGTTTCTCCGAACGAATGTGACGTGCGGCTTGATTGTAGTATTTTACGCAGGACTCCTTGAACGGTCGTCGTTCACTCCAGCGTAGTCCATGTAGGGCTTATACGTGCTTTCGAATTTAGTCGGTCATTGGTTATATTAGAAGTCAGTCGATTACCTCCACCATACGTGTACGGTTTTCTTTTTATCGCGTTCGATGTACGGTTGTCGGTCGAGTGCTTGGCTGTGTACTCAATGGCATTATAATTAGTATTGTTAATTCGGAAGATAAATAAAGAGGTATAAAGATAATGAGTTGATGTTTGGAGGATAAAGAGTCATCAGAAGATGAAAAAATAGTTCGGAGGAAAGTGTAATGTTCAAATATCGTGATACTAAGGGTGCATTTAAAATTTTAATGTGTCATCTGGGCTTGTCTATACTCTTTATATTTTATATTGTATAAAGCTTCATTATCTTTTACAAAATCAATTAATAGTTCATCATTTTCGCTCGTCCAAGTCGCGTTTCCACTCATTTTATTAAATAAATGTTCACTGCTACACGCGAAAAAACGTTGAACAACTGTTTATCACCGCTATGACGGCCGTCATACAACTGACAGCACCGCTATTTGACGTTACGGTGACACTCAACGTACTCTAGGAAACCTACTCCGATGTTATTTATAGAAAACGTATGAGTGACGTCACCCAACGCTATATTACGGCCGCTAGATAACGGCACCGCTTTTTTAGGAAACCATAGCTTAACAAAAAAAACCCATATTAAACAGTTGAATGTAAAGGACTTTTAAGAAATAAGCGGAAGGGCACACGACGAAACCCATGAACAACAAAATAAAATAAGAAAATAATAATAATTTCCCGTAACTCGTCATATGCTCCCCAGTTGATATAGTCCCCATCGGACATGACACGTGCACATAACACTCATATACGGTACGAGATGAAACTCCGCAGTCGGCCGGTCATACGAAACTCACGGTTTAACTCGGACAACAATAAACGTCCGAAGTGAATAATACCGTGACATAGGCATATTGCATAGTTGCGGTAATGACGGTGAAGATCGATTTACTCGCGAACCGTCCGACACCGTAGTTCCGTGTGCGTGCGATGCGAGTATAACGTATTATCCTTTGTCCGCGAAAGATGCGAAGACGCTTTGTACTTTCTCCTGGGAACTAATCGTTAACACTGTGCGACGACGTAAACCCGCCCCTGAGTGAATTTCACGCACGGCTCATCAGACGTTTTCAAATCGAAACGTTCCAAGTCGTAAGACCTTGAATGTTGAACACGCGGCCAAAATCGATTCAATATGGGTATCGAAGATCGTAAACACACATCTCCCATCTCGGAGCAGTACGCAGATTCACGCGTGTACACACATGTCACCTAGGCGGACTACTCGCCCGTTGTTCATACGCACTGTTATGGGCTCTCGTACACCACATGTAATATTACACTTGAATTCGTGTAATAGTATACGATTAATCTATATTTTCAATGATTGGTCATAATTAAGGTTTGGGACTAGTTGGATTTGCATATTGCTCAATAATGACTGCAGAATAGTAT